AGGCCGAGGAGGGTGGATCACTTGAGGTCAGGAGTTCAAGACCAGCCCGGCCAACACGGTGAAACCCAGTCTCCACTAAAAATGCAAAGTTAGCTGGGCATGGTGGCGTGTGCCTGTAATCCCAGCTACATGGGACGCTGAGGCAGGAAAATCGTTTGAATCCGGGAGGCGGAGGTTGCAGTGAGCTGAGATCGTGCCATTGCACTCCAGCCTGGGCAAAAAGAGCGAAACTTCATCTCAAAAAATAAAAATAAAAAAAAAAAGGCAGGGGAGGGTACGGTGGCTCATGCCTGTAATCCCAGCACTTTGGGAGGCCAAGGCAGGTGGATTGCCTAAGGTCAGGAGTTCGAGACCAGTCTGGCCAACATGGTGAAACTCCGTCTCTACTAAAAATACAAAAAGCATTAGCTGGGCTTGGTGGCATGTGCCTGTAATGCTAGCTACTCGGGAGGCTGAGACAGAGGAATTGCCTGAACCAGGAAGGTGGAGGTTGCAGTGAGCCGAAATCGCACCACTGCACTCCAGCCTGGGCAACAGAGTGAGACTCTGTCTTAAAAAAAAAAAAAAAAAAAAAGAAACTGTAATTTCCAGAAGATTATGTAGGAGAATATCTTCATGACTGTGGTTGGAAAAAAAACTTTTTAAAAGGACATAGAAAACAACTACATAATCAAGGAAAACAAACTGAAGTTCTAGCCATCAAAGCAAGCAACATGCAAACTATCAAGAGAGTTACGAGCGAAGCCACAGAGTGGGAATATATATTTATAATACATATACTGACAAAGGGCTTGCATCAAGAATATATAAAGAACTCCCTAAATAAATATGTCAGATACATACCTCAATAAAAAATAATAAGGATATCTGAATAGGTGGCTCACAAAAGAGGCATCAAATTGACAATAAATATATGAAACGATACTCAATCACACTAGTAGTTAGGGGAATGCAAATGAAAATCACAAGACAGCACTCTAAGCTCACCAGAAAAATCGACAATACTATATGGTCGGTAAGGACATGGAGCAAACGTATCACTCATATACTACTGGTAGAAGTGTAAACTGATAAAACCCCCTTGGAAGGTTGTCATTACCTACTCAAGTTGAACATAGACATATCCTGAGACCAAAAATTCCACTCCAACATACATATGCAGCCTAAATTTGTGTAACACACACCAGTAGATGAAAGAATGTTCATAGCGACACTGCTCACAATAGCTGCAAACCGGAAACAACACAAATGTTCCCTGACAGTGGATGGATAAAGTCATATGTTCATATAGCAGACCCACCAAAGAAAATGAACAAAGTTCAGCCAATGCGACAACATGGATGAATCTAACAAATATAATGGTGGACAGAAGAAGCCAGATACAAAAGAATACATACTCTACAATTCCACTTACATAACATTGAAAAAAGAGAACTTAAAATGTTTAAGGATGCATATTTGGGTATTTTTCAGAAAATTCAGGATAGTGATTAGCTTTAAAGGCACGAAGGAGCAGTAACCAGCAGGAAGCATAAAGTGGTGATAATTACATAGGTGTTCATTTACAGATAAATCATTGAGCTGTAAATTTTTGTTTTGTGTACTTTACTGAATGTTATGTTAAATTGTGTCATTAGAAAATATAAAGGAGGAGGGTATAGTCAACCAATGTCCACGTTACACAGAGCGGCTACAAGGTTTATAGCAATGAGAACTGATAGCTGGAAGAAGAGCAGTTGGGGTGGACTATAGGGGGCGAAACTCAACTTAAGCATACTGAAACAAGAATGGGAGGGAAAGAAGTGGAGACATAAACATAGACAACTGCTTGGAAACATTTTGGTATGAAAAGGAGAACAAAGATGAAAGGTGATAGTTGGAAGTGAATGTAGGGTCAGGAGAATATATTTTGGGTTTGTTTGCTTTATGGGAGCTATTAAAGAACGCACTCTGCTAAGAATAAAGCATTGGCCGGGCGTGGTGGCTCAAACCTGCAATCCCAGCAGTTTGCAAGGCTGAGGACGGTGGATCACTTGAGGCCGGGAGTTTGAGACTAGATTGGGCAGCATGGCGAAACCCCATCTCTGCCAAAAATACAAAAATTAGCCAGGTGTGGTAGCGCATGACTGTAGTCTCAGCTACTCGGGTGGCTGAGGCAGGAGAATTGCTTGAACCCAGTAGACGGAGGTTGCAGTGAGCTGAGATTGCACCACTGCACTCCAGCCTGGATGACAGAGCTAGACCCCGTCTCAAAACACTAAATTAAATAAAAAGAATAAACCACTGAGAGGGAAAAGATACAAGAGAAAGAAAAGTGCAAGGATGAAACCCTTGAAAAAAGTGAAAAACATCTGTGACGTAGAGCACACAAATGCAGAAATGGACCTTTGTCACAAACAGAGAAAATAGATGAGTCTCCAACAATCATAAACACAGTGCTAGGGGGAGGCATGAAAGAGAAAGGAATTCTAATGCAGAAAAGGGAAGAGAGAAGGCACGCTATTCCGGAAAGCAGAATGTGGGAGGGCATTTCAACTACACCCTGAAGGCTGGAAGCATTTCAACAGGTAGAGAGTAAGAGGGAACATTTTGGGGAGGGAGGGCTGCATAAACCAAAGCCAGTTCTTCAAAGAGAAATGAAAGTGGATTATAAATTTATGAAGTAGCAACTGGAGAGTGGTCTGCATGCCTACAGATAAGATTTGTAACAGGAGAAGAGTGAGGCTGGGCGCAGTGGCTCACGCCTGTAATCCCAGCACTTTGGGAGGTCAAGGTGGGTGGATTACGAGGTCAGGAGTTCAAGACCAGCCTGGCCAACATATTGAAACCCTGTCTCTTTCCTAAAAATACAAAAATTAGCCGGGCATGGTGGAGCACGCCTGTAGTCCCAGCTACTTTGGAGGCTAAGGCAGAAGAATTGCTTGAACCCGGGAGGCGGAGGTTGTGGTGAGCTGAGATGGCACCACTGCACTCCAGCCTGGGTGACAGAGCAAGACTCCATCTCAAAAAGAAACAAAAAACAAAAGACAGGAGAAGAGTGTGAAACTAGTCTCGAACGTTAGTTTGACAGAAATTGTGGATAACTTGAGACATTGGTCTTTATCCTACGGGCATTAAATAGCTACTGTAAATTACTCAGGGAAGGAAAAAAAGATATAATTTACTTAGTCTTTCCAATTTTCTTTTTTGAAGAAGGGTACTCTTTCCCAAGTAGAATGAAGCTTGGATTAGGGACTAAGACAGGGGAGGACGACTGGACAGAAAGAACCTTTAGAAAACTAGTAACATCTGTGGACGATAACGAGAACCTGAACTATGATTCACTGTATCTTCCTCTGGAACATTCCATTTACAGTGCTAATCTCACACTTTCATCATTGTTGATCAACTCTGACATGTCACATTTAATGCAAAGAAAACTTCAGGTTACCAAAAGAAGAATAAAGTTCTGTTAAATACATCAAAGGATTGAAAAGTATTATTTGGTCTTAAAATAGAATTGTTTTTGACACCTTGGGAAATTAGGACATTCAAAAGCAGCTGTGTGTACAGGGGAATTTACAAAGTCACAGTATGCCTAGGAAAGATACACACTCGGAAACATTCTGAGAAGACCGTAAGCTTTCACCTATGGCTGATCCCTAGGCTCAGAGCAAGCCTGGTTAAATGGGAAAAGAATGTCCCAGCACAGAGCCAATCTGAAAACACTGGGAGAGGTGGGCTGTTCTCTCTCTCTCTCCCCACCTCGCCTCCACCTTTGGAGGGGAGTGGGGGGTATTTGTTTTCAGCTCTGGGAATTCAAGGAAATCCCTGTCAAACATTAGCTGAACATGAGCTAATAGAACGCAGACTTCAATAATCACACATGACATGGAATAGTCTTCGCAAAAATAGTTTGAAAAAGTCTCAACACAAAAGGACTACTACAGCCTTCAATAGTAAAATAAGACAGCAAATCCTAGGAAAGAAGGAGTTAAAGATTTCCAGAGTAATCACATGATAGTGAAATGCTCAATTTTCAACAACAAAATAACGAGGAATACAAGGAAACAGGAAAACATGCTCACTCAAAGGAATGGAATAAGCTGACAGAAACTATGCTTGAGAAACCACAGACATCAGACTTACTGGGAAAGACTTTTAAATGACTGTCTTAAATACACTCAAAAAGCCAAGAGACAAACATGGACAAACAACTAAAGAAAATCAGGAAAACACATTATAAAAAGAAACCAAACAGAAATTGTGGAGCTAAGAAGTATAACAACTGAAACAAAAAATCTACTAAAGGTGTTAAAGAGCAAATTTGAGTAGGCAGAAAAAAGAATTGGTGAACTTTAAGAAATGACAATTAAAATGATCAAGTCTGAGGAGCAGAAAGAAAAAAGAATGAAGAATAACCATTTGATCCAACAAGTCTATTTCTGGGTATATCCTTAAAATAATTGAAACAGGGTCTCAAACAGATACTTGTATGCCAATGTTCACAGAAGAAATATTCATAACAGTCAAAAGAAACAACCCCAATGTCAGTCAATAGATGAATGGATAAAGTTTGGTAATACACATACAATGGAATATTATTCAGTCTTGAAAAGAAATTTTGACACATGCTACAACAAAAAGAACCTTGAAAATATTATGCTAAGGGAAATAAGCCAGACACAAAAAGACAAGTATTGTTTAATTCCACTTATATCAGATATCTGAAATAGGCAAATTTATAAAGACAGAAAGTTGAATAGAGGTTACCAGGGGTTGGCAGGGAGGGGAATAGAGATATTATTTAATAGGTACAGAGTTTCTTTTTGAGATGATCAAAAACTTCTGAAAACAGATAACGGTAAGATTAACATTATGAACGTAGTTATTACAGATAAACTGTACACTTAAAATGGTTATAATAGTAAATTTTGTTATATATATTTTACCAGAATAAAAAAAACTACAAAAGAGAAAAAGAAAAAAGATGTATAAGAGAAAAGCACCCAAATACTCACCAGTTCTAGCTGCTCACCAGCAGATGCAGCTTTGCCAATATCTGCATTGTCATGGGAAAATGGTCTTTTGGCAGCTTCACCCACCCCAGAATCTTCACCTGTTGTAATCCAAGAATTCTGCACGTTTCCCTAAAACAAAATGTGCCAGTAATTGCAACTGAATTCAACTTTAAATAAACATGCATACTTTACCAATAGAATACCGATTCTTTTTTTTTTTTTAAATAAAACGTTATTAGAAATCTTGATCTTAAATTTAGACATTGAGAATTAAATTCCAGGAGAGTCAATCTTTCTCAAACTATAAATAAGAAATAGAGTGGTTCCACTGTTTAATTTAACATTTCTTTTTCATAATCTATATGGCCAAAAATCTTAAATCAAAAGACATGACATTTAGAGACAAAAAACATAGATTTAAGACCCTACGCTGCTGATCACTAGTTAACTGATGTTGGAAAATCACAAAACTCTCTACTTTAGCTTAGTTTTTTCAGCCTAATGTGCATCATAGGGTTAACATCAAGATCCAATAAGGTACTATGTCTAGAAACCTTCTAGAGTCATTAATTTAGAGTCATTCATTTATTCTTTGGATTATATGTGCAAAATTGAGAAAAAGGCATAAGCACAAAACTTCATGTGACTAAAATCCAGGAATCTCTGAATATTTTTAACCTCTGTAGGAAAATGTTGTAAGATCTATAACACTGCATTTCAATCTGTTTCCAGGCATTAAGAGCAACTATTTATTTGCCTCATAACCCAAATTCATGCTCCCCAATAAAAACTGAGTATCTAACATTAGGGTATAAAATGCCAGCTGAAAGAGTATTCACAACCATAGGCCTAATTCAATAATTTGATAAGATTACTCCCTGTCAGACATAGAAAAGATCTTAGAAATCAACCAAGCCAAACTCTCACTTAATAGACATGGAAGAGAGAGAGCAAAATGATTGCGATTGCTAGTACTGGGCTAAGCAGCCATGTTTCACACACATGGTTTTATCATTCTACTCTGCCTTCCACTTCCTCCTGCCAGTAGTCTCCTCTCTTCCTGAGAAAATGAAAACTGACTGATTTTGCTACCATAGGGTAAAGCAAACTAGCATCTGGAATTAGGACAGATGATTATGGACGGAGTATATGAAATCATGAGGAACAGAAGTTGCTACGTTCTGTTCTGGATTCCTACTATGAACAAAGGCATTCAAGTCTCCAAAATTAGGGTGACCAGCCACATCCTTTGATTTCTGGAGCCCTCTAGGAACTCTGGCACAATCAAAGCTAATACATTACATTGAATTCACATATGGTTCAAATATGTACCTTTCTCTGTCCAAATATAAACCATTCAAGAAAGAAAAAGATCTTTTGCATCCAACAGCAGCTGGTAGAATTTGTTTCCTCTCTAAATATAGTTTCGTTTTTGAAATAAAACCAAGAGATTAACAAACAAATTATGACATTGGTACAGAGAAAGCGAAATGCAGTGTCTTAGATTTGATGCTGAAGTGGGACATTGGCTTTCTTCTTGGAAGTGTGACTCTTCATTGTATATGGTTGTGAATACCGATTCTTATCTAGAGAAAAAGCATATGCTTCTACACTACAGGATCTCCATGGTGATAAGAGTATCTTTTGGTATGCTATTAAGATGCCTGGTGGCTGGAGTCCATGATTAGAAGATTAGAACTTGTGGCCCCACTCTCCCACCTCAAGCGGGGAAAGGACTGGAGATTGACTTAATCACCAACAGCCAGTGATTTAACCAATCATGCCTATGTAATAAAACCTCCATAAAAATCTTATATGATGAAGTTCAGAGAATTTCTGCATTGGTGAATGCATCCACATGCCAAGAGGGTGGTGTACCCAAACTCCACAGACAGAAGCTCTTCTACCTGGGACCAGCCTGGACCTGTGCCTCTTCAATTGGCTGTTCATTTATATCCTTTATATAATAATAAAACAGTAATAGCAAGTAGAGTGTTTCCCTGAATTTTGCGAGCCATTATAGAAAATTATCACAAATTATTGTAGGAACCCCCAATTTACAAACAAATCAGACAGAATTGTGGATAACCAACAGACCTACTATTTGCAGTTGGTATCTAAAGTAGCAGGTAGTCATGTGGGACTGAGCCCTTTACCTGTGGGTCTGATACTAACTGTGTAGTGAGTGTCAGAATTGAATTGAATCACTGGACACCTAGTTGGTATCGACAGAGAAATGGAGAATGGCCAGGTGTAGGAGACAACAGTCCCAAACATTTGGTGTCAGAAGCGTTATGAGAAAAAGGAACAGTTTTTTCCCTTCAATGTCCTATATTATTCTGATCTTCTGCCTTTCCGAAAGATAAATATTTATCTTTAGTAAAAAGAAACAGTGCATGTGCAGTGATAAACAGAGTTGACATGCAGCCTGCATGCCAGGGATTCAAAAAGGAAGAAGAGTAGGCACTGTGACAAGCCACAGAAAGGTGTACTATCCCAAGGAAGCAGTCGCTACTCAGTTCCAGTCAATCATCGCCATGTGGGAGTGAAAATTCATATTACCAGATACCTGGTCCTTCATATGAAACATTATTAAATACTGGCTCAAAATTTATCAAACAAACCAAACATGCCTGAGTTGAATTTAGTGTACCCATTGTTAGTTGCAACCTCTGTCACCCTCTCAACATTCAATGTAGTAAGCAGCCCAACGATCTGGGGAATTCATGTGCACAAGAAGGATTAAAATACTTATATTAATTTAATCCAACAAATAATTATTGAACACTTGCTAAGGGCCAAAGGATATGGTAGTAGTCACAAGAGAGGACAGGTCCCCAAACACTGAACTATACTGCAGTGTCACATCATGCTAGAATGTGGTAAACTACATTCACCTAAAGTAGTACTCTGAATTCTATTTCATATTCTTCTGGAAGTTCAGTTTAGTGCAAACATTTGTGTAACACCTACGGTGTTCAGACACTGTGCTAAGAGCTTGGAGGACAAAAATGAGCAACATCAATCTTAGCTCCAAGGAGTTTACAGTTTAATGAGGGAGACACACAGCTAGGCAGGTCCTTTCAATATAATAATGTGAGTGCTAGGCTAAAGGTGTGCACAGGGGCCTCTGCCAAAACACAGGAGGGATACTAAGGGCACCCAGCAATCCAAGGAAGGTTTTCTAGAAAAAAATTGACACTGGTGTGATACGTTGAAGGATGAGTAAGGGTAAGCTAGATGGAAAGGGCATTCTAAGAAGAGAGAACCTCACGACAAATGTCACAGGGGTATGGAATAGCATGGTGCCTGCAGGGAGGTCTTAGACAATTCAACATTACTAGAGGTCAAAATATAAGGTGATGAATGTCAGAAGATGAAGCTACAGAATCAAGTAAGGGACTTGAGAGTATACCACACCATGGAATGAGTCTGCACGTGATTCTCCAGGCAGGGCCAAATCCCCTAAGATATTATTGCATTTAAAGTTGTTTTTGAGATCAGTGAAGGAGGGTGGTACTAATGTTCTATGGAGAAACTGGAGGAAGCATGGAGACCACAGATTGCTGACTTACGATATAAAATATTATCATTCTTTGGAAAGAAGTGCTAGTCTAATGGATATTTTGTTCTTTCACACATAGCTTTAAAAAACTTGAATGCTACTTAACCAAGATTTTTTTTTTAAATCTAAGTACGTTAAATCCCTGAAGATCATTCAAGACCTTTGATTTCTTAACTGGACGGGGTGGGGGGTGGTGGTAAGAAAGGGGATGAAAACAAACATGAAAAAAAATTGGCCCAGAAATTTTCTCCTTAAAAAAAAAATCCTAGATCTTTAAAGGAGGACACATGACAAAATGTCGAATAAATAACTTGTTTTTGTATTATTGTGATTTTGTGAACTCTAGAGAAAACTTTCCATGAGGAAATATTTTATGAGAAGGGAAAGTGATGAAAAATCAGGACAGCAATGAAATATACTTTGAATGCCTTGCTTCTTTAACTTCTAGGTCAAAAACTAGAACAAAAGTTGAAAGTCTTGCAGGCTACCATCCAGGTCCAGGGCTACAAGCAGGAGACAATAAAAAGGAGGTTCTTCTCTTTTCTGCCAGGGAAAACTTCTATCCTCTGCAAACAAAGATGGTTTGGTTCACTGTCGACGAGCTCTTCCTAATTTACGCAGAAAAGCCATATAATTTAAGGTTCTACTGGGTGTATTTAGAGATTTAGACAGTCCTGGGTTTGAGTCCCTGCTTTGCCATTATCTAGCTCTGTGACATTAGGCCAATTACTTAGGTTACTTAACAGTTGTGTACCTTAATTTACGCCTCTGAAAACAGAGATAATAACACCTGCCTTGTGTGGCTATCGCAAATCTGAAGTAATATAATGTAAATAAAGTGTTTGATGCAGTGCCTGGCACATTATAACCATGTAGTCATCAATAAACGTTAGTTATTACTGTATGTGATGGTTAATACTGACTGTCAACTTAATTGGATTGAAGGATGCAAAGGATAGATCCTGGGTATGTCTGTGAGGGTGCTGCCAAAGGAGATTAACATTTGAGTCAGTGGGCTGGGGAAGGCAGACCCACCCTTAATCTGGGTGAGCACCATCTAATCAGCTGCCAGCAAATACAAAGCAGGCAGAAAAACGTGAAAAGGCTAGACTGGCTTAGCCTCCCAGCCTACATCTTTCTCCCGTGCTGGATGCTTCCTGTCCTTGTACATCAGACTCCAGGTTCTTCAGCTTGGAGACTCGGACTGGCTTCCCTTGCTCCTCAGCTTGCAGACGGCCTATTGTGGGACTTTGTGATTATGTGAGTTAATACTACTTAGTAAACTCCCCTTTATACCTATCTATCCTATTAGTTCTGTCCTTTGAGAGAACCCTGACTAATAAACCATATAAATGTTTCAATTATCTTTTTTAAAAGGCATTATGAAACACTGAAAATCTATGGTGAAATCAGCAAATTTAAATACAGCAAGGGAAGATTTAGCATCAATATTTTAATTGACTCATTACAAAAACCCCATCCCCCCAAAAGAAGGTATTTCTTGACTTTTTTTATATTTAAGATATCCTAAACACTTTTATTCATGTTATAACTTCTGCCACAGCACAATGCACGTGTTGCTGAAATGTCTTGTTTTTTGTTCATCTTGTTTTTATTGAGGCAAGGTCTCACTCACTGTTGCCAAGGCTGGGGTGCAGTGGCGTGATCAGGGCTCACTGCAGCCTTGACCTCCTGGGATCCTTTGACCTCAGTCTCCAAAGTAGCTGGGACCACAGGTGTGCACCAGCATGCTTGGCAATTTTTTTTATTTTTTTTATTTTTTGGAGAGATGGAATCTCACTATGTTGCCCAGGCTGGTCTGGAACTCTTGGGCTCAAGTGATCCATCCACTCACATGATCATCCTTCCAAACTGCTGAAATTGCATGCATAAGACGCTGTATCTGGCCTTGAAATGTTTCAATTCACTTACTCAGGTAAAATGTGGGGGTAACAATTCGACAACAACAAATAACAGGAGACTAACATTAAAATAGATATCAAGGTCATCTGGCATATCTGCAGTAATCATTTCAATATCTGCATTACATTTAGCTCACATGAATGTTTAAAAAAACAACAAAACCTCTCTAAAACCTTATCCTTCCTATGATTCTGACTGTAGTTTTGTTTAGCACATTTTCTTTGCTCATGCAGCAAGGCATGTGTGCTCTTACCATCATTTCCTTCCCCTTTTGCATTACTCATTTCTCTTGCCCTCTGATTCACTCGTCTGCCTAATTTCCTTTCTCACTTCACTTCCCTTTCTTCCACTTCTTGGCCATTATATAAATACTGAAGACTATGAATAATTGAATCACTGCTTGCTAAGTGACTACATATTTGGAAGAAAAGCAAATGAATATTTTTAAAATAAGCTACTTCTAAGTATTTCATATATGGTGATATCTTCTTCAAATTGACATTAAAATAATAAGCAACTAAGATGGAATTTTTACCATTAATAATTATATAAATCTTCAGGAAAAAGTTATATAGTGAGGAGAAGAGAATTGATCACAAACTTAAATGCAACTGCAGAAAATTAAACTGAAATACTAATTAGCCCACTTCATTTATCAGAGTTAATATACTCCTATACTTCTCAATAGCAGACTCTAACATATACAACTCCAGGATTAAAAACAAGCTATCAATTCAGGTTAAAAAAAAAAAAAAAAGACTTCAAAAACGAAAATTAGAGGATATCTCAGTCAAACATCAAGACTTTCATGTTTTCTTAACAGCTGATTTACTAATGACGACAAAGTCCAAACCACCAAAGTAAACTGCAAAGTGAAGCTGGAATAGGCAAGCATGAAAACTTCCGCGTGGAAAGTTGCATTTGTCTCAAAAAGCAGAAGCAGCTGTGACTATATCTTACAGAAAAACAGTTTTAAAAAGTTTAAGACAAAAGTACTCTGATAAGCCATAAGAAAGTGGTTTAAGCACCATTTAAAAGTCACCACAATAATTCTCTGTCACAGAATTATACGGATAATCTGACCCAACGTTCTTCAAACTCTGGGCCACTGACATTAGAATCACTTAGGCAACTTGATAAAAGTTTAGATTCCCAGGGGCCAACCAGACCAAGTGAATCAGACTCACAGGGCCTGGAGTCCAGGAATTTGCATTGAAAACTCCTGGTATATGTGAATCTTCTCAAAATAACAATAAAGAAATAAAGGACATACGGGATTAAGCTATGTAAAGCCTTCTAAAATTACTTGCTAAACACCAGCCTTCTTAGGGACAATGGGAAGACTAACATTTTGATTCTTGGACCCTAAGGCCAATGTTCTTTCTGCTATATCATGCTGCTAATTAGACTTCTCAGATTTCAGATATCAAGGACAATTTAGAGAAATCCAGCACAAATCTAAGCTAAGGTTCTGAATGGTTTCTAGACTCAGCAAAGTCCTTCCTGTATAACACGTTTCCTGCTTTCAGACCTGCTCTTTCCATATGGTAAGGCAGAAATGGTACGCTCAGGAAACCATAGCAAATATTACAAGATCATTTCACTTGAGAATTCATTCTACCACAGTGAAATCTGGTATTTGAGGTCTCAAACAAATACTAACATAGTACTTTGGCCACACTTCAAGGAGAAAAACTAAGCAGGTAAGAAGGCGGGGAGAGAGGGCAGAAGGGAATATTCACACTAAATAAAATGTATGATTTTTTAAAAGAATGCTCACAGATGCATCCAGAAGTGTTTGTTCCCTTAGTGTCTCCTCCTGTCTTTGAGATTTCAGCTCTTGCTGGAGGCTTTCATTTTCAAGCACAACTGCTTGTATTTTATTTTTCAATCCAGAGAGTTCCTCCTATAATAAGCAACATCAAATACATTAAGCATTATTAAGCAGTGTTTTTATTTGTTGATTAGAGGACCAGCATGATATAAAGTATGGAAGACTTATGTTCTCCTTTTCCTGAAATATAATTATATTTAGACAAACAAGGCAACCTAAATATTAGCTAGATACCAAAGAGAAGGCTAAGGTATATAGTAATGGGCCTGCTGGTGGCATATCACAAAAGTGTGTCGTTTCTGACAATTTCCTTTTCTCCAAGGAATCAAGGCTCAAAGAAAAGTCTTAATTAAAAGAGTTATCCAAGAGATTTTAAAGAAGTAGACTCTGAAAAATGAGTTAAGACATATTATGACTAATGATCAAATACCATCAACTTGTTAAAAACTGATGGAAGATTAAATAGAGGGAGGCTCTGAGACAGAAAGGCATAGACAGGCGTGATGATTACCTATGAAATGGTAGCCAGATAGGAGAGAATTATAGTAAAACATTTCATGGAGAATTCTGAAAGAGTATTTCCTTGGCCTCACAGGATGTAATGTAAAGAATTAACAAATCAATAACAATTAAAATTACAGGATGTAACATAAGAAATTACAGGTCAACAATAATTAGAATAGCTATTGAGTGGACCTCAGTCGCTGGAAAAACAATTCAATAACATCAATATATCAATCATATAATACGTAACCTAATATTCATTACTAGTGTAATCACAAGCTATTGTACAACATGTGAAAATTCCCCTCAATTATTATTATTTTTAAACCCAAAGCTATACTAAAAGCTGAAATTAAAAAAATATTATGGACTTTCATTTTTCAGTCTGGAATGTAATGAGCTTGGAACAGCTCACTCCCATCTTCACACCAGGAAAAACGTTGAACAAACTGGAAATCAACAACTCTTCTTAGATTCATCAGATAATTGAAGTCACAGGGAAAACTGCTGCCCCAAAATTGACGAGACGAGTGGTCGCTGAGACACAGAATTTACAGGAGGAAATCAGAAACCTCTGGAGGAGGTAGAAAATCTAAACTGTAATTGATGACTTGCTGGAAGCTCAGTGTCAACAAGTTTGAGAGTTAAAAATTCCGGGCTGGGCGCAGTGGCTTAGGGCTGTAATCCCAGCACTTTCGGAGGCCAAGGTGGGCGGAGTACAAGGTCAGGGGTTCAAGACCAGCCTGGCCAATATGATGAAACCCCATCTCTACTAAAAATACAAAAACTAGCCGGGTGTGGTGGCGGCGCCTGTAGTCCCAGCCACTCGGAGGCTGAGGCAGAAGAATGGCTTGATCCTGGGAGGTCGAGGTTTCAGCGAGCCGAGATCACGCCACTGCCCTCCAGCCTGGGTGACAGAGCAAGACTCCATCTCAAAATAAATAAATAAATAAATTCCAGGAAGACCCAGTCATAGGAGGACTGCCCTGCTTCCCCAGTTTTATCTCCAGGACAGTGCCAGATTTTCACAGTAAAAACTAGAGAAAAATCCCCTTATGCAACCTAAAGAAAGAAGAAAAGCAGCCAGTTTGAAATATGCTCAGCACGTTGTGTTCCTTGTCACAGGCCTGACTCGAGGGAAACGACTTTACCGGAGCCGAACTGACTGGGGGGCTGCCGTCACCTAACTGGCCTAAATAAAGAAATCCAGCTCCAGCCCCCTCTTGCATTCAGTGTGGGAGAAGGGGCCTCCAGCTTCCTCTAGCCTTCCCGTCTACCTTAAAGGGCAGGGGAGACTGAGAAGCACTTGTGAATGTCACAGCCCAAGGCAAAGGCTTATTAAAAGACTCAGATCTAGTCATAGGCCTATTGAACGCTTCCCTCTACTCCCACATCTAACGACCACATCACTAGGGCTCCTGTATACTAACAGAGAAATTCAACAGAAAGAACTGCATATCTCAGACTATATTTAGGAAGAATTCACTAGGGTAATGAAGAGACAACAGAAGAGACAAGACCAGGACATGGAAGGAAATTTCAGCCTCTGACATGTATAGTGACAGCAAACACAGCCTAGCTTCTAGCCAGATAAACATAAAAGCTCATGCTAAAGGCCTACTTATCTCAGTTCCTTTTACCAAATATGTCATGGCCAGCATTCATCAAACAATTACAAGACATGCTAAAAGACTGAAACACAGTTTGAAAGGATTTAACAAGCATCAGAAACAGTCTCAGATAAAGCAGAGATGTTAAAATTATCAGACCAGGAATTTAAAATAATTACAATTAAGGCCAGGCACGGTGGCTCACGCCTGTAATCCCAAGCACTTTAGGAGGCCAAGGTGGGAGGATCACCTGACCAAGGTGTTCAAGACCAGCCTGACCATCATAGTGAAACCCCACCTCTACTAACAATGCAAAAAAAATTCGCCAGGGGTGGCGGTGCATGCATGTAATCCCAGCTACTTGGGAGGCTGAGGCAGGAGAATCGCTTGAACCCAGGAGGCAGAGGTTGCAGTGAGCCGAGATCACGCCACTGCACTTGAGCCTCTAAATAAATAAATAAATAAATAAATAAATAAATAAATAAATAAAATAATTATGGTTACTATGCTAAGGTCTCTAATAGAGAAAATAGACTATATGCAAGAACAGCAGAGTAATATAAGTGGAGAGATGGAAACTCTATGAAAAAGATGAAAAGAAAATGCTCAAAATAAAAAAACTATTAACAGACATGAAGAATGCCTTTGAAAGGCTCATCAGTAGATTGGACGTAGCTGAGGAATGCATTAGTAAACTTTAAGAATTGTGAATAAGAATTTCCAAAAAAGAAATGCAATAAGGAAAAAAACTGAAGACAGAAAAATTATACGAGAACTACAGTACAATTACAAATGGTGTAATAAATACATACATACCACAGGAACACAAAAAAGGAAAAGAAGAAATATTTCAGTCAATAATGACTGAAAAATTTCCTGAATTAATGACAGGCACCAAACCACAGATCTAGGAAGCTCACAGAACACCAAGCAGGATAAATACCACCACAAAATACACTGAAGAATATCATATTCATACTGCAGAAAATCAAAGACAAAGAGAAAAATCTTAAAATAAGCCAAAGTAAACAAACAAACAAACAAAACCCCAAAATCAGGCTGGGCGCGGTGGTTCATGCCTGTGTTCCCAGCATACAGGGAATGTATGCCTTGGGAGGCCGAGGCAGGCAGATCACATGAGCGTCAGGAGTTCAAGACCAGCCTGGCTAACATGGTGAAACCCTGTCTCTACTAAAAATACAAAAATTAGCCAGGCATGGTGGTGGGCACCTGTAATCCCAGCTATTCAGGAGGCTGAGGCATGAGAATTGCTTGAACTCGGGAGGCCGAGATTGCAGCGAGCCAAGACCTCGCCACTATACTCCAGCCTGTGTGACAGTGCGAGACTCAGTCTCAAATAATAATAATAATAAAACAAAAATCAAACAAACAAAAAAACAAAAACCTTACCTATAAAGAAGGAAGGATAAGAATTACCTGGGAATACTTTTCAGAAGCCATGCAAACAGGAAGAGAATAAAATGAATCTAATATTTAAAGTGTTTAAAAAAAAAAAAAAAAAAACACCAACCTAGAATTCTGGATTCAGCAAGATTAACTTTCAAAAGAGAAAGAAAAATATTTTCTTAGACCAACAAGAATTGATGGAATTTATTGCTAGCATATATGCCTCACAAGAAACGTTAAAAAAGTTCTTCAGAAAGGAGAAAAGATGATAAGGTGAGAAACTGCCATCTACATAAAGAAAAAAAGAGTATTAAAATAGGAGTAAGTGGATAGAAAATATTTTCTTATTAATTTATTTGACAGATGACACTTTGTGTTCAACATCATAATTGCAATAGTGTTTGTAGTAATTGTAGTTTATAGATAACTGAAATTAATGACAGAAATATTATAAAGGATGAGAGAGGGCTTGGGAATTCTGTCATAAGGAATTTGTACTATTCAAGAAGTGGCACAGGGTTACTTGAAAGTAAAGTTAGTTATAAATATTTACTGCAAACTCTAAGGCAACCAGTAAAGAAAAAAAAAAGACGAAGAAGTACAGTTGATCAACTGATATGTTAAGACAGGAGAAAAATGCAATCATGCAAAAATTAGCTGGTTGTGGTGGCTCACGCCTGTAGTCCTAGCTACTAGGAAGGCTGAGGCACAAGAATTGATTGAACCCAAGAGGCAGAGGTTGCAGTGGGCCAAGATGGTATCACTGCACTGCAGTCTGGGCAACTGAGAGAGACTCTGTCTCCAAATATAAAAAATAATATGCAATCATATAAAATGCTCAATCAAAGTTACAGAAGGGACAGGTGCAGTGGCTCACACCTGGTAAGTACAGCACTTTGGAAGGCTGAGGTGGGAAGATCACTTGAGGCCAGGAGTTTGACACCAGCCTGGGCAACATAGTGAGACTCCATCTCTGCAAAAAACATAAAAATTAGCCAGCCATAGTGGCGCAAGTCTGTAGTCCAAGCTACTCGGCAGGGAGGAGGTGGGAGGACTGCTTGAGCCCAAGAGTTCTAGGCTATAGTGAGCTTTGGTTACATCATTGCCTAGGTAACAGGGCAAGGCTCTATCTCTTTAAAAAAAAAAAAAAAAAAGCCAGAGAAGACAGAAAAAGTGTGAAAATTTTTTAAAGAAACAAAAAATAAAGACAATGAAAATAATAGTAACAAATATGTTATACATTGATCCAATCATAACAATAATATCTTTAAATATAATGGTCTGAATATACCAAGTAAAAGATAGAGACTGTCAGAGTGGTTAAAAAAAGAAGAACAGGCCGGGCGCGGTGGCTCACGCCTGTAATCCCAGCACTTTGGGAGGCCGAGGCGGGCAGATCACAAGGTCAGGAGATCGAGACCACGGTGAAACCCCGTCTCTACTAAAAATACAAAAAATTAGCCGGGCGCGGTTGTGGGCGCCTGTAGTCCCAGCTACTCGGGAGGCTGAGGCAGGAGAATGGCGTGAACCCGGGAGGCGGAGCTTGCAGTG